TGTAGTTTAATTTTCAGTGTTTCATTAGTTTCATTTAGATCTAATCTTGGGAAAGTCGGTCTTCTAAGACGCAATTGTAAACAAGTGAGGTTTCCGTTTAATAGCCGTGTGCACTGTTTCCACACTTTTGAAATTCTGGAGTGTACAATCACGAACGCGGAATAGAGAATCAATCTATACTTCACTATACCTAATCTAAACCTTCTAATTTTTTGCATCTTTCAGAATTTATTGCTCCATTCCAGCAGAGTGTAATTATAGTAGGCCAATGACTTTCAGTTGATGTTAATGCACCTATCCTTCCTTTCATCGAAAGGGGGCCCAACTAGTTAGGTCTATGCGCCTTATCTGCTGTCTGTAGCTCATGTTGTAGGGTTTTAATTTCGTGGGAAGTGGCCGATTGTTTGACTGCGGGAAATCCCGACTGGGGAGTGGGTTTGAACAAGAACAGTGTCATAGCTAATGACCTTGTCCCTCGTCCATCTGAGGTTGGCAGACGGTAATTTAGTAAGCAGTTTTTATCTCGTTATTTCCGCCTTTAATGCCATACAGCGATCTGCACGATTTGACTCTCTCTCTCTCTCTCTCTCTCTCTCTCTCTCTCTCTCTCTCTCTCTCTCTCTCTCTCTCTCTCTCTCTCTCTCTCTCTCGCTCGCTCTCTCTCTCTTTCCCTCTCGCTCTCTCTCTCGCTTTCGCCATCTCTATCTTTCTCTCCTTCTCTCTCTCGCCCTCTCTTTTTCTTCCCCCCCCTCTCTCTCTCTCTCTCTCTCTCTCTCTCTCTCTCTCTCTCTCTCTCTCTCTCTCTCTCTCTCTCTCTCTGTCTCTCTTTCTCTCTCTTATTCTCACTCTCTTTCTCTTTTTCTCTTTCCATCTCTCCTTGTGTCTTTCGTTCTGTCTATTGATCTATATCTATTACAGAGAGTCAGACAGACAGACAGACAAACAGACAAACAGACAGACAGACAGACAGATAAATGTATAAATAGTTAAACAGAAATTGTTATATTATGCGTATAGTTGTTTCTAGCAAACAACTCTGTAATCATAAAATTTCACATCTTTTAACTATCGTTTGATCTATCTATTTCTCTAGCTATCTAGTATGCTATCTAATTATCCTTCCTATCTCTTTTCGCTGCTGTATACGAAAGTTCGTGAGAGAGAGGGGGGGAGAGAGAGAGAGAGAGAGAGAAAGAGAGAGAGTGAGAGAGAGAGAGAGAGAGAGAGAGAGGCGAAGAGAGGGGAGAGAAAGAGGAGGGAGAAAAGAGAGAGCGAGAAAGAAAGACAGAGGGAGGGCCTGGAAGGAGAGAAGAGAAGAAGAAAGAGAGAGAAACAGAGAATGAGAGACAGAGACAGACAGACAGACTGACTGACAGACAGACAGACAGACAGACAGACAGACAGACAGACAGACAGGCAGACAGACAGACAGATAAACAGACAGACTCTGTCTGTTCAAACCTACTTTGATCTTTGCTGTACCAGGGCCAAGGTCAGTCTGTCCCAAAGTAAGTCAACGGGTACACAACCTTCCCACAGTTTGTTCTAATCTGAGATCTAATGACAATATGTGAGGTAGCGTGGTGGAATCAAGCTCTCGTCAAAATAATCAAAGTGAAGAAACTGGCATCTTTCCGCAGGTCTGTGAATTTTTATCAAAATTTTGTTTTTTGGCTCAATACCTTTCATGCCCATTAAAGAACTAATTTCTGTGTGGATTTTTTCGAAAAACGTAGATAAAAAATGTAAACTTTCTGTTACCACGGACTCTTAAGCTAAGGAAATAACTAATCTCTGGCGGCCATTTTCGGACTAATTTTACCTTTGAAAACAGGTAACCCCACCCCACCTCCTTCATTCGCAAATAATAATATCTCGACTTGCATTCAAGATAAAAGTATATTTTTTCATCCAAATAAAGACAAGTAAACAAGCTTTAAGATGATACCAATAACTCTACACGCCCAAAAATTGACGAGAGCATGATTCCACCACACTGCCTAACATAGATCTAATATGTGTCACGACGTGGTGGAATCAGGCACTGGTCAATTTTTGGGCATGTGGAGTTATTGGTATCATCTATTCATTTGCCTTGCTTTTCATGAAAAAAAACCCCATCCATCTAGCTGGAATAGAAGTCGAGATAGTTGCGATTGAAGAAGGTGAGGTAGTCTGGTTTCAGAGGTCAAACTAATGAGAAAATGGCCACCAAAGTTTGAAAACTTCTATAGCTTAAGAGCCCTTGAAAACTGAAAATTACAAAGGCCTACTTTATGCCTTTAAACGAGGCTTTTAATTAGAATTCACCATGAAATGTGTTTTTATATGAACATAAAAGAGGTTGAGTCAAAAATAAAAATTCGATAAGAAAGTCCAAACTGGCAGAAAAATGCCTGTTTCTCCTAATTCTGTATTTTGACGAACACCTGATTTCACCACGCTGCTTCACATATTGTCCCGCACACACACACACACACGGCACGTCAGAGGAGTCAAAACAAACAGTCGCCATTAAGACAAGACGGAGCGAAGCTAATTGTCATTAGAACCGCTTCAAAGCCCCGCCTCCGGAAAGGAGATCACGTGACCGACGTGTAGTGGTTGAGACGTTTCGGTGGGTATATGACAAGTGCAGCGGCTTAATGGCAAGGCAAGGGATGGACCCGTTGAGGGGATGACGTCATCGCAACTGGTGAAGTTGAGAATCGTGATAATACGTGTATATTATTATTATTATTATTATTATTATTATTATTATTATTATTATTATTATAATCATTATTATGATGATGTTTACTGTTGGCCCACTGGTCAGGCCGCTTGTTGAATCATTTTGATCTGGCAATATTGTATCTTCTGTTGCATCAGCTTTGGATAGATTCCTGGAATTCCGAAGTTTAGTGCGGCCGCCGTATGGTGTAGGGTACGTTTTCTTACTGTGTTTTCCGTCTGGTTGGCAACGTTCGTTTGTGGGATGTTAGTATTGCTAGTCCCGCACGTATTACCCGTGTTTTTTTGCGTCATAATTAGGCCACATTATAACAAAATATTTTTTTATAATATATATTATATCATATCATATCAAATCATATCATATCATACATCGTATCATATCTTATAACATAATATAATATCAATCATTGTTGATATTATTAGTTAAGGTGCGAAACCGTTGAAAATATTCGATCCTCTCTTGAAAACTCAATATTAGGTCTCTTTTTTCCATGCTAAAATTCGACACGTGATTCGTAAAATAATATCGTGTGTGTTTTCTTTCGCCTCAATAAGATACTGTTCGCTTATCTTATAATCTGGAAAAGTGCGGAAAAGGATGGGTGTTGGGGCGTGGAGAGGGCATACCATCAGCTCAGTAAGTATCAGTAAAGTCTGTTTTGCGGATGACACAGGTTCGAATCCCTAAAAGCGCGTTCTTGAACGAGGACTTTGTGGTTTCTCTTGGGAGTTTTCGTGGTTCTCCAACCATTTATTAATTCACTTGAGGATGCAATCGTTTGCTGGGGATTTCACAGTATGGTGACATTCTCTGATGAGGCTTATTCGCTTGGTTACTTCTCCCCCCC